CAAGAACACTGGCGTCAATTCGTTTTTATGGACAAGTCATTCAGTTCCATGAGAAGCTAATATAACATCCAGGCTAAGCGCTGTGTTTTACCCAACTAGGGTATTCAAAACGTTTTCAGGGTAACTGACAAAAAAAAAAAAAATATGAGACAGAGTTGATTCTTATAGAAACTCTAAATATGTCGAGAGTCTGAAAAAGGTTGCTCTAGTCAAAGAAATTGAGGATTTATAACTGAATGGAAAATTTATACTCCATTGTGACAAATTTTTTTGAAAGTAATTGAACATTAAACATAAAAGTTTAAATGTTTATATCTTGATAGAGTATGGGAAAAGAAGATCCATGCAACTGATACTAGATAAGGATGGGCAGAAAGATCCATTTTAGACATCATCATGAAGACATTTATTGCATATATGAAAATTGATGCAAACATTTTGGCATAATATCAGTTCATCCATGTAGATACATTTCCTGCATAGTATTTACACGTATTTACACATATACACGCAGTCACCAATCACAAACACGCAACCCTGTTTCAGTTATGTATTTCTGTGTGTGTGTAACAGCACATTTCACGACTCCACAGCTTGGAAAGGCAAATGACATTTATTCAATTATCAGAAAATAGAATGTGCCGTATACTGATTCAAGTGATCACTCTTGCCAAAAGCATGACATCAAAACAAAATGGCACATTTATTATAATATTATGATAACTGCGATCCATAATATTATAAACCAATCATTCTCTGGGAAGTAGGGTGCCACTAAGATTAAGGAACTAAATGAAACTTCAACCCAATGAAAGAATGAAACGAACTTTAAAAGACAAAAGAAAAGAAAAGAAAAAAGAAAAAGGAGTTAAGGAGTCTTACACTTCTAGTGCACCGTTTCCAAGCAACACAGCTAGATAACCCATTACATGCATGGATTCAAGGTGATGAGTACTAACTGGCCGCCACTTTACAGCCCATGCAACCTTCCCATTGTGGGCTAAACATAACATCAGTCTAGGTAATGCCACATCAAAGGGAATGATGCTGGTAGAAGTATTGGCATCACAAGCACTTGTACAAGTTGGGGAATCCAGACTGAAGCTTGCAGATGCTAGCGGATCAACAAGGGTAGTTTCTTCATGTTCACATTGGCTGGGACTATGCAGACCATTGTCACAAACCTCGTCCTTTTTTATTGCCTTATCTGGCAAATGAGACCCAGCTGAGCTTGTAGGGTATTCAATAGCAAGAGGTTGAACGTATTGGTCATTGATATTTATTTTTCCCATAGACACATCAAGAACTTTCTTTTTAGGTCTCCCTCTTGGCCTCGATGGTACAGAGTGGTCAAGAGGGTTCTTTCTCGGTCTACCTCTTAACCTCACTTGTACAGAATCATTAAGAGGTGTCTTTCTTGGTCGTCCTCTTGGTTTCGGTGGTTCAACTGGATCATCAGATTTAACTATTAACTTTTTCTGGGGTTTTCTTCTTGACTTTTTAGCTTGATTAGTTAAATCATCTCTTACAGGGGCAGTTAACAAACACCATATCTGTATGGCACCTCTGCCTGCAAGGGGAGCACCAATCTTGTGATATGAAGATTCAGGCGGATGAGCAGCAACAGCAACAAACTGCAAAGATAATTTCAAAAGTAATTACAGAGTGGATTACGTATACAATTAAGTTGTAAATATACAACAAAAAATATGTACATTTTTCAAATGGAAGAAAAATCAGTTGATGGAATATAAGTGGTTCTCAGAAGAAAACTCGTCACGAAATACTTGCATAAAGAGCACAACAGTATATAGAGTGCATTTATATTGTGTTAGAGATATGTAAGGCCGAAAAACTTATCCATCTTTATTGTTGGCATGACAAAAGAATAAAATGCAGGAAAGCGACCATTGCTGAAGTAACTAAAGAAATCAAATTAAGGCCAACTACAGCATGCATACGAGAAGTTGGTTCTTTCATGAAGAAGCAAGTGACTGTAGATGTGATGACTTAGTTCTGCAGCTCCTACCAGATAAAAGCACTTATTTGACCTAGAATCACTTCTCTACTACCATTTCCATTTTTCTTCTTTTATTTATTTTTTTCGTTATCTGCTGGCCATTTGAACTTTCAAAAGTAGCAAACATTTCAAGCTAAAAATTGTAAAAAAAAAAAAAAGGAAAATAAAAACATATGGCAAAAATCATTCCACTACATGACTCACAATTCCAGTAAGTTCACTTGATATAAATTACGATGTCCAGGAATTCTCAAACAAAAGATTTAATATCCAGAGAAGACACTCCACAAGGTCTCAGAATTGGCCAGTTGGAGTCAATCAGCATTAGAGCAAGCAAATCACCCACTGACAAAAACAGAGGGTATAAAGTATTTCAGTTTTCATCTATGGACACAAATCACAGAACCTCACTTCATTACGTTTTATGTTAACCAACGTCAGTAAAAAAGCCAAATTACTGTTATTTCACATTAGG